GATCTCCACCCATGCCCACAAGGCAATGCAGGCTTCTGAGGAAAGTGGTCCCTGGTGCAATATGACCCGTGTCTCTTCCAAGCTGGTCACTTTGTAGTCCAGACTACATCCCCACTTCTCATTGTTGGTCTGAGAACGAGGATAAGGGAAGGCTTCATGTCACTGAGCAGAAGCTCTTTCATGACTGAATATGTGATGGTGTGGACAGGTCCACCTGTAATCAGTATGGCCTCCTGTTTTAGCCCAGCTGCTCAGACACCACAGACTTTTACAAATCCCGGCTGATAACCCCACCAAACCAGGAGGTCACAGCATCGTCTCCTTCAGAATGAAGCATGGGAACTGAGACTTAGTTGATCAAGCAATGTGACTGACACCTCCCCACAGCTAGAAGACGAAGGAGAGAAAATCATAAGTGAAAAACAGTGAGCGGGGCTCAAGGTTTGGGGCATATTTGTCGAGGGAAGAGAGAAGACAGGGCTGCAGAAAGAATGTTGCAGAGAACTGAGCAGTGTGGGGTGTGAGAGCAGAACACCACAAGAGCTGGTTTTTCTTCAGCTTATAAAGCTCCTCAGTCCCTTAAGAGCACCGGTCATGGTAAACCTCCATACAGAATATGAGACTTATAAGAAAAGGTGTTGTGAGATGCTTGTACACTATGTGAAGTTGTATCTGCTGTGATGGGTGTAATAAAATGTTGAATGGCCAATGGATAGGCAGGAGGTATAGGCAGGATGTCCAGGGAGAAAAAGGAAGAGGAGGAGAATCTAGGCACGTGGGAGATGACAGGAGAGATGGAGAAGGAACAAGAAGGAAGAGAGGCAACGCCACATGATAGAAGGTAGATCAAGCCGGGCGTTGGTGGCGCACGCCTTTAATCCCAGCACTCGGGAGGCAGAGGCAGGCGGATCTCTGTGAGTTCGAGACCAGCCTGGACTACCAAGCGAGTTCCAGGACAGCCTCCAAAGCCACATAGAAACCCTGTCTCGGAAAAACCAAAAAAAAAAAAAAAAAAAAAAAAGAAGGTAGATCATATAATGGTTAAGGTATGAGACCTAGTTAGGAACGAGCCGAAGCCATGGATGGAGCTTTCATAATTAATAAGAAGTCTTCCTGTCGTTTTTTATGAGCTGGCAGCCCCAAAGAAAAACCCAGCCACAGAAAGGTACCTTGCTGCCCTAACTTGTTCAATGGTGCATTCCTGACATTCAACTACAGAGTTTGAAAGAGTAAAAGAATAAACAAATAAGTAGTACTGTGGTCAGGAGAAAGCTGTGATTCCTTCAGAGACTGAGGGAACTTGGCTCTCAGCAGGTGCTGAGGAGGCTGGTTTCAAAAACACAGGTCTTAGTAAAATTCTTGGCTATGGAGGCGGATGAGGTGGGCACTTAAACTTCCGTGACTTATCGCTTATACAGCACAGTCTGCAGGTACAAGCATAGGTGATAAATAACTGTACTGACCCCGGTCCTGCCCTGCCTGCCTTCTGAATCCTTCCAAACGGCCTTGTGATTGTGACCCATTGCTTACATACTGTGGTCTGTGGGGACAGGAACAGGGTATAGCGGCCCCGTGTTTGGGACCCATTGTTTACATACCACCATCTACAAGTAAGGAAACACAGTGGGCAACTCTCCTGTGGTTATTCCGAGTCCTGGCTCTACACGTGACTCTACCAAATCCAGAGATATTTGGGACAATCAGACAAAGCACAGTGAGCAGAAGGGCAGGGGTGGTTCAGCCTCTCCCCCTCCCCAAGGAAATTTCCATCATTAAAGGGATCATAGCTAGTATTTAAATTCTTACTGAGTATTCATACATTGATCATCTCTGAGAAGGGAACCGGCTTGAAAATCATTCTGAATACTTCTGTTTTTCAAATACAGGACTTCAGGTAACCCAGGCTGGCCTGAATTCCCTATGTTACCAAGGATGACCTTAAACTTCTGATCCTCCTGCCTCCATCATCCAAGTGCTGAGATTACAGGTATGTGCCACCACATCTGGCAAGAGAACAATTTTTCTTTTCTTTTTTTTTTAAAGATTTATTTATTATATATACAGTATTCTGCCTGCATGTATGTCTGCAGCCCAGAAGAGAGCACCAGATCTCATTATAGATGGTTGTGAGCCTCCATGTGGTTGCTGGGAATTGAACTCAGGAACTCTGGAAAAACAGTGTTCTTAACCTCTGATCCATCTCTCCAGTCCACACTTTTTTTTAAAGATAAAAGAATAAAACATAGAGGTCCAAAGAAGGAAAAGGACCTACCGAGGGCTCTGGAGAGGGAAAATCAGAGCTCTGCACTGGTTCATCCTGCTGGTGATGCCCAAGAGACCAATGAGAAAAGGCAGGTGCCCATCATTACCATCATTACCTGGGTCTTTTTGCTTAAGCATAAGCCTTATGGATTTGGTCCTCATTCTGGATGGTAAAATACATCAAACAAATGGCAGAGTATGACTTGCTAGGTCCATGTTACTGAAAGCATGAGTAGAAGTTGCAGTGGGCAGAAACAATGGGATCTGGACTCCTACCCCAGTGCTCTCTCTGCTGCTAGACTCAGCCATCCACAAAGCACACTGGCAGCTATTAGATACTGCTCCACTTACAAGGGGGCATTTTACACGCATGTGTGACTCAAGATGTGGCTGCATCTGATTATTAAAATTAGAATTATTGCCTGTTCACTGGTGGTGCAGGCTTTTAATCCCAGCACTCAGGAGGCAGGCAGATCTGAGTTTGAGGCCATCCTGGTCTACAGAGCCAGTTCCAGGACAGCCAGAACTATACAGAGAAGTCCTATCTTGAAAAACAAAAACAATACAATTATTTATCTGGGGGGAGGGTTGTCAGGGATCCATAAAGATGGCTCCTCTTCATCTTGACTTAAGGTCAGATTTCAAAACTGTCCTTAGTCTTCCAAGGTTAAAGTCATAAGACCTAAAGGTCTAAGGTGTAGCTACTGTAGATGTTTGATCTTGGCCATGGATGCCTTATCTAGATAACAACAGACGTAGTCTGAGGTGGGGATACTCTTGACCCTTGAGGCCGGATAATGAGAAATTGCACTGTACTATGTTTCCACATTGTCCCCAAAGTGCCCCGGAATACATGCTGTGGTAGAATATTATCTTAAGGTGTGTGACTTTTGTCTATCCTGCATTTGTTGGACTCTGCAAAGCTGTTATTCTGTGCCTGTCTAAAACACCTGATGGTCTAATAAGGAGCTGAATGGCCAATAGCAAGGCAGGAGCTAGGATCAGTGGGGCTGGCAAGTAGAGTATAAATAGAAGAGCAGCAAGAGAACAGGAGAGGAGGACATCGGGGGCCATTCGTCCAGCCATCCACCTACACAGCAATCCACTGGTAAGAGTGAGGTTTACACAAGTAAGAGAACAGGAAAGGCCCAGAGACAAAAGGTAGTCAGGTTAATTTAAGAAAAGCTGGATAGAAACAAGCCAAGCTAAGGCTGAGCACTCATAACTAAGAATAAGCCTCTGTGTGTGATTCATTTGGGAGCTGAGTGGTATGCTCCCCCCCAAAAGAGAAACATCTTACTATGCATGGGTACTTTTAACACAAAGTTTCCAACTTCTTGTGACTACTTTTGTTACACCCTAAAGCAATGGATGTTGACCCCTTTGGAGGTTGCATATCCGATATCCTGCATATCAAATATTTATATTATGATTCTTAGCAGCAGCAAAATTACAGGTAGGAAGTAGCAACAAAATAATTTTGTGGTTGGGATCACCACAACATGAGGAACTGTAGTAAAGGGTTGCAGCTTAGGAAGGTTGAGTGTCAGGGCTCACAGAAATAGCTCCTCTTCATCTTGGCTTAAAGTCAGAGTTCAAACCGTCCTTAATCTTCCAAGGTTAAGTCATTAAGACCTAAAGGTCCAAGGAATGGCTACTATAGATGTTTGATCTTAGCAGTGGATGTCTTATCTTAGTAACAACAGACTTGGTCTGAGGTGTGATTACTCTTGATCCTTAAAGCCAGATAAAGAGAAATTGAGTCTAAGGTGTGGTTACTAAATGTTTGGAGAATTAAGGAGCAAAGTCTGTCTGTTCCTTGTACATGATAAAGAAGTCTTTGCCATGTCCCCCTTTTGGTTGGGGTACTTAAGACTGTTGAAGAATAAACCTGGGGCATCCGGTGGTCACTGGGCTGCCCTCCTGAGTCTATCCTGTGTCTCTGTCTTTTTCTTAGTGCTTTCACCTGTCATTTCTTAATCCACACTCCCCCCTCTCATGTACGAACCTGGCAGGTCGCCTGGATCCAACTGAAACCCCACAAAGACGGCTACAGCAGATTGATGTCACAACATGGGGCTAGTACAGATGGCTACAACAGGGGACGGTGGGCACTTGTGTGCCACAGCATTCATGCCAAGGCCAGAGGGCAGCCTGCAGGAGTGTCGTGTTTTCTCTTCCATTACATAGGTGTTGGGATTTGAACCAGGGGGTCGGGATTGACTGCAGGAACTACAATCTCATTAGTCCAGTTTTCACTTTTTGACATAAAATTGCTATTTACCTGATGCCTGAAAATATATCATGTGGATGTACATGCTAAATAATCTCATCCAAGGTCTGAGAATGTAGTTCAATGGTAAAACGGATGCTTAGGATGTAGAAGACTCTGAGCAGAGTTCCCAGAAACACACATGTACACATGAACTAAGGGCTGGGAGTATATGTCAGTAGAGCACTTGCTTAGCATACCCATAAACAGGCCCATTCAATCCTTAGCATGTATACATCCTTGGTATTAGTAGTTCCATATTTCCCGGTGGTGGTGATGGCGGTGACAGCAGCACCCGCCTTCAATCCCAGCACTTGAGGCAGAGTCAAGCGGATCTCTGTGAGTTTGAGGTCAGCCTGGTCTACAGAGTGAGATCCAGAACATCCAGGTCTACACAGAGAAGCCCTGTCTCAAAAAACAAATCAAAAAACAAAACAACAACAAAAAAGTCCCATATTAGGCTTACCTTGGTAGAATCAGGATTGGCAGAAGAAGAGGCCCCATAAATTTTAAGGACTTCCTCAATTGGGATACTGTTCTGTGAAATAAAAACAATGTGTTGTCATGCCTTTAATCCCAGCACTAGGGAGGCAGAGGCAGAGGCAGGCAGATCTCTGTGAGTTCTAGACCAGCCTGGTCTACAAGAGCTAGTTCTAGGATAGCCTCCAAAGCCACAGAGAAACCCTGTCTTGAAAAATCAAAAAAAAAGAAAAAAGAAAAAAGAAAGAAACAAAATTACAGCAGTTCCAATGGCTCTAATAAACAGTGTGGGGTAACACAGCAAGTAGATAATACGTATTAAGGTGTAAACAAATTTTCTAGATAACAATATCTCTCATCTTTTTTTCTTCTCTCCCATAAACATTTTCACAATATGGTATGGAAGCTAAATTTTTTATTATGCATTTAAAATCATAAATTTTACTATTAGTAAATCCCAGGCATTTAGAACCAATATTGAAAACACATAAACATGCCTCAGTACCAAAATGAACTTAGAAGAAGTCATGGAATGAAGCCTGGCAGTGGTGGCGCACGCCTTTGATCTGCTAGCACTTGGGAGGCAGAGGCAGGTGGATCTCTATGAGTTTGAGGTCAGCCTGGGCTACAGAGCAAGTTCCAGGACGGCAGAGATACACAGAGAAACCCTGCCTTGAAAAATTTTTTAAAAATTAAAAAGTAAAAGAAAAAGACATGGAAGGTCTGTCTGTGTACAGTGTTCTTTCCCTCACCATTAAGACTCCAGCGTAAGATGATAAGATCACTGCTTCTCTCTGTCTTCTGTTTGGATACACTGGTCTGCCATGAAGTGGCACTTTCCTAAGGGGAAATACGGATGGAAAAGAGTCGTGGGTGGTGTGTGTGTATATGGAGGACGGAGGCCAATCTCAGACACCATCCCTCTGGAGCCATTCACCTTGGTTTTTGAGTCAGGGTCTCTCACTGAACCTGAGGCTCACCAAGAAGAGTAGGAGGCCACCAAACACCAAGGATCCACCCACCTCTTGGCCTCTTCAGTGCTGTGACTATAAATCTAAGCCACCATGCCCAGTGGTTTATGTGAATGCTGGGGACCAAATTCAAGTCCCCTTGCTCGCACAGTGAACGCTGACCGAGTCATCTATCTATCTTCCAGGCTCCTCTTCTCATTCTTTTTGACACCTGCTAAGGTTGTGATACTAATCCATGGGTAACCCAGCAATGACTGCGCTATGATTGATTTTCTGTTGATGAAACGCATACTTTGAATTTTTAATCTTCCAACCAAGTGATGACTTTTTTCCTTGTCTGTTTTCACTAGAGCTGTCACGAATGCCAACTGGCCCCATGGTGGTTGGCTATGGCTTTGCTAGCAGGTATCACTCCGATTCTCATCGTCTGCTCGGAGGGAACCTGCCTTACTTTACTGGGAGCTTGCACAGCTTTAGGGAGGCTGGTTGGTTCTGAAAATGGGTCTGTCTGGTGTGTTCCATGACTAGACAAATCAAGAAACTGAGACACATGTCTTGTCTGCTTGTTGTTTGTTTAAATCCATCCCGGTTTGGACCGAACCTTGTTATGAAATGAGCTGACACTAATAGTGTCCACCCAGAAGAAAAGGACTGGGTAGGAAAATGACCTGGTAGCATCAAGTGAGGTTAAAAAAAAACATATTTATTTAGTGTGTGTGTGTGTGTGTGTGAGAGAGAGAGAGAGAGAGAGAGAGACAGAGACAGAGACAGAGACAGAGACAGAGACAGAGACAGAGAGCTTGCTTCACTGTGGAGTACCTGTGAAAGTTTGAAGACATTTTGAGGGAACGCGTTCTCTCCTTCCATCATGTGAGCTCTGGTGACTGAACTCAGACAGTCAGGCTTGTTGGAAAGTTCTTTGTCCACTGAGACATCTCATCAGCCTGAGTTTGGAATTACTGTGCAATTCACAAACTTTTCAGATGGGGGAGGACTTGCTCTTGTTTCTTCCTTGAGGTTGTTCAAACTGCTTATTACTGTCAATTCCTAACTGTGACCTTGAGCCAGGAGCATGGAATAGAAACAGTATCTGGACTTTGGAATGAGCTATTTAATCGTGGCCTCTCAGTTCCCTGTTCTGACCAGTAGAATGTGGCTGCTGCATCTCTTGATACACTTGAAGGAAAATGCTGATAATTTTGGACAGGAAGTGATCACACAGACTCAAGTACTTAGCTGTTTATATGCTCCAGAAACTGGGTAAGACAGTCCTTGGGAGACAATTTCAAGCTTTACCTACAGAACTGTCCATTTAAAAATAGCTTGTATATAATACAATGAACTCAACGCTTCTCAGAAAAGAGCAAGATTTTTTTTTAACTGGACAGAAACCAATGATTAGAAGTACAAACGTCCTCAGGCTGCAGCTGTAGCATGTCTGCAGGCTTCTGGCTGGAGGAAGAAGTTTGACCTGTGTTTCTAGATCAGAGTTCATCACAAGAAGACGCCAGCCAGGGCTGGAACTCCCTCCTTCAATGAGAGTCACACTTTAAAAGGGAAAACCGCAAGGGCTGTGGATACGGCTAAGTATGTAAAGTGCTTGTCTTGTGCAAGCATGAAGAGCTGAGTTTGGAGCCTTTCCTCATCGGCCATGTCAAAATCTGGGCGTGGTGGCACAGCCTGCAATCCTAGTGCTGGGAAGATGGAGATGGGGGCAGGAGGAGGCTCCCTGGAGGTGACTGGCCAGCCGGGCTTGCTGGTGGTAAGCTCCAGATTCAGTGGGAGAGAGATGCTATCTCAAAAACTAAGATGAAGAGTGACAGAGGAAGACACTGACATTGACCCCTGACCTCTGCATACACCCACATCCATACACAAGAATGTGTGCACATGCTTGTCTTCCTACCCACACTACATAAATGAATTAAAAAGAAAAACATCAGACACATTTCAACTTACAGTTTCTCCCATTGGAGCCAAGTTAAGTCTTCTGAGGGATGTAGCCACTGACAAGCAACACTGATGGCTAAGTCATAGTGGGCCTGGAATTGGGAAGTAGAGAGCAGAGGTCATGGGCGTGGGTTCAGATACCCTGACAATGGCATCAATAAGCCCCTGTCACGTTTCAACTGGGGTGGAGAGTCCTTTATAAGTAGCCCGATGCTCAGCTAGAGATGTTTCAGGATCTTCAGGCACTTACTTTAGCTCCGACTAAGCAGTTACTTGCTGTGCATGGTCCAGAAAAGAATCCTCAACTGGGAACTGGGGAATGTGGCCTCACACTGTGATTGCCAAGAACTCAAAGGGTATATATATATTCTTGGGTGAGGCATTGGTGAGTGTTGAGCCTCCCTCTCCTTAAATTTTAAAAAGGTAAAAGGAGAGAGTGGAGAAATAAGGCTATAGTGAACATTTTCTGATCCTGTTTGGTATTAGAAATGCACTCCCAGGGGACAGGAAAGCGGGGGTGAGGTGGGAGGAAGGCACTGCTGCGCTCACCTGGGGAGACAGAAACAATCCTGGGAGGCTTCACCGAGGAGTCCTCAGAACTAAGGCTTAGGAAAATGGGATTTCTGCAGTTGGAGAAGGACATTCCAGGGCACATAGCATGAGCAATGGGCAGGATAGACCCAACTGAGTGACAGATGGAGAGGCTCACACCGAGTACAATCATCTGCAAGCTCTTATTAACAAGCATATGTGCCACTTATTATCAACATGTCCTTTCCATCTCCATATCCAGGAAGGCGAAGGTTGGTTTGGGTTTGGTTAAGGTTCTAAGAATTTCCAAGTATTGTGATGATGCCCTCCAGGGACATGACTAAAGTAAAATGTCAACCTAAATAATAAATAAGGGGTTTGGACCATGGTCATTTGTTGAAACCTCATCTGGAGTTTGATACCTGGACCAGTCACACTGGTCAATGTTCATTAGAAATACAATCACCCAGCCTATCCCCAACCTCCACAATCAAAATAGCTCTGTAATAAAACCTCATTAAAGTTTGAGAAGCACAGCTCTGATCTGTTTAACTTCCTGTGTGGTGTGTGCACACAGAGAGGCAGGCTTAATTACAAACCCTGGCTTTACACAGAGGGAAACTGAGGAAAAGAGACATCCCTCTCAGCACAAGGATAGCCTGTGGGCAGGGGGCAAGCTGAGTTTACTTATTTCTTTTGGACTAAATCTTTATGTAGTTTCTTCTCTAATTTCTGTGTAGTGAGCCAGCAGAACTTCACGTGAACTCAGTATGAATAATGAAAAATATTTGAGAGTCCTGTATCACTTTGCCTTTACGGTGATAATGCAAACAATGACAAGTGACTACAGCGGAGAACTACCTGATTGCTAATTTTTTTTTTGTGGGAGGGGTTTTTGAGGCAGGGTTTTTCTGTGGCTTTGGAGGCTGTCCTGGAACTAGCTCTTGTAGACCAGGTCTCGAACTCACAGAGATCTGCCTGCCTCTGCCTCCCGAGTGCTGGCATTAAAGGTATGGACTATCACTGCCCAGCCTCATTGCTAATTTTTATCTTGCAGTCATTTGTTTTTAGTTTTTTTCTCCCTATGTTTATGTCCACATTCTTTTTGCTTTCTATTTAATGGGTGAACATGATCATAGGGATAACCTCAGGGCGAGGAAAACATAAGAAGGAGGACAGGGTGCTCATATGGATGTGATTTTGTGTGTGTGTGTGTGTGTGTGTGAGTGTGTGTGTGTGTTACATACAGAACGCAATGAGAGTTGTACCAGAATGACATTCTTTACCATCTCATCTAGAAAGCTGAGTTGACCTCTTCCTTTTGGATCAAATTCATTTTCCCGAAGTCTGATGCCAATATACTCTCCCCTTAAAAGCAAGAAAACAGCATTGAGCTATGGGGAATGACATAGAGTTCTGTCTTCAGAAAGAGGCTTTCTTCCCAGTCCCTCCCCTTACCCCGACAAATATGCAATGGAAGTCATTGATGGTCTAGTAGCTGTTAATATTTAATTTTAGCTTGGATAGTGATCTCCAAAGGCTGCAGGTTTAAAACATCTAATCATAATGAATTTAAATCATATTAATCTTAATATTAATCTCATTGTTGGAAAGCAGAAAGAATGCAAAATGTCAACACACAGACACAATTTTTTTGCAAAAAAAATAAAAGATTTCCTGCTGGGAGTGGTAGTTCATGCCTTTAATCCAAGCAGGAGACAGAAGCAGACACTACCTCCTATGGGTGTTTATATTCTAAGAAGAGGCTATACCTATACAGGGGTGTGGGGGTGGAGAGGTGCCTTGGTCCTGCCTCAACTAGGTGATGGGACAGACTTAGACTTGCTGGGGGAGGCCTTACTCTCTCCATGAAGCAGATGAGAGGAGGGGGGAGTGGAGAGATCGGGAGGAGAAGAGGGAGGGGGAACTGGGATTGGAATATAAAAATAAATTAATTTTAAAAAGTGTAAAAAAAGAGGCCATCACATAAAAGAATATATTTTTGTAGTGTTTTTCATAGAACACACTAGCATTGGACATTCTGCCTGGAGTTAGCATGGTCAGCAAGGAAATATTTATTTATTTATGTATTGGTTTGTTTGTTTGAGATAGAGTCTCTACGTAGTTATGGTTGTCCCAGAATTCTGTAGACCAAGCCAGTTGAATTCACAGAGGCCCATTGGCTTCTGCCTCCCATAGTGCTGGGACTAAAGGCATGATAAGATAGATCTTTGATGAAAAAGCCATTAGCGTTGTAGCAACAATACATACAAAATAAAATGTGATCTCTTCCTGTTGTACGCTGTGTGATTTTTTATAAACATTTTCAAAGTACCAGGCTGGAGAAAAACTGATTGGGATGGAAAAAAGTATAGGAAACTTGATCTTTTCTTTATTAATCAAGAAAGTTTAGAAGTCAAGAAAAAGGAGCTGGGCTACTTGGTTGTTAAGCTTGGCAACAGAAGCAGCAGAGGCTCTGGTTTAAACGCTGGCCACATCTAGGTATCTATGACTTTTGCCAGTTAAGTGCTGCCCCCCCTTCAGTGGTGCAACCTGTCCTGCTAGGCTGTGGGGGTTCCTTGCACATGCATGCTGCTGCTGCAGAAGCATTTTCCTAAGACAGTCTGCACCCTGCCTTGCATCCCATGTGCCTGCCAGGCAGAGACAGGGACCAGAGCATCTGCCGGCTTTCTGCTGCAGAGCAGAGGGATCCCTCCTTAGCTTTCTGTGCACCTGCCAATATCCAGACCATCTGTGACAGCATTCCACGCGCAAGGGTCAGAAACGAAAGTTACTCTCCGAGATACTCACAGCAGCCTTCTCACCTCCTGCTTTACAAGCCTCTTTTCCATGACGGAAGGCGGAAGGCTGGCGCTGCGCAGGTTATCTGTAGCTTGCGCTCCACCTGAGAGGCATTAGAAAGAGTGATTTCTGCAAGCCTAGAAACTACAGCAGCAAATCAGAGAGAATATGAATTAGGGATACTGTTGCTACGAATACCAGTCATGGAGTCCCAGGCTGTGGAAGGGATCTAAGAGCATCCAGAATTCAGACCTTGTATACAGCAAGTCCCAAGTCAGAAAGTGACCTGGAAGCTAGCTTTGGACCTTGCGCACAACTGACAGCTTATTTCTTTCAAGTTTTAATTGCAAGAATAAGTTCATTAAGTAACTTAATTCTGTGTGTGCTTGTGTGTGAGGGTGCACACGTGCCGTGGAACAGATGTGGAGGTCACAGGACAGCTTTCAGGAGTTGGTTCTTTCATGATGTCACCCAGCCATGGAACTCAGGTCCTTAGGCCTGAGTTTAAGTATTTTGACATGTTGAGTCATCTCATTTGCCCTCTTTCAAGTTTTTCTCACACTCGCTGTGTAGTCGTGCTCACTCTAATCTAGCTTGTAAAACAGGGATGGTTCATGTAGCAGTTTATAAGGTTCTTTGGGTAGAACCACTCACACATGTTGACTTGTGGACTGACTATATTGGAAGTGTCCTGTATGTGGTCAACACAGTGATTCCCAATGTGTTCACTCTAGAGTAACAGCTCATGATGGAACTGTCCATGATTTCCCAGTGCTGTCACTGACTGTCATTTGGCATTCCATGCAATAGTGACAAATGTGTCTTCAATGCCCACTTTGAACTGGAAAACGAAGACAAGGTAATGAGTTTAAAGGGGCTCTGAAATGACACACATATACACACACAAGTTTGTGAAAAAAAAATCATTACTATTGAATGGGGAGGGGGGAACTCAGCAACAAGTATGACTAGGAATCAAACCTACCAGCATGATTTGTATTAATTTTGAAAGAGTCGAAGCACATTGTGACAGCTAGTTTGATGAACCATGACTGAATCACTATTATTCGATATTTGGTTAAACGTTATTCTGGGCTGGGCTGTGGTGGCACATGCCTTTAATCCCAGCAGAGGCAAGTAGATCTCTGTGAGTTCAAGGCCAGCCTGGTCTACAGAGATAGTTCTTCTAGGACGGTCAGCACTACACAGATAAGCCCTGTCTCAAAAACAAAACAAAACAAAAAAACCAAACCAACCAAACAACAATGTTGTTCTGGATGTTTTTATAAAATTGTTTTCTGGATAAGATAAACCATTTAAATTGATGGACTTTAAAGTAAAATATATTTGCCTCCATAATGTGAGTGACCTTACCTAATTGGTTGAAAGCCTTGAATGGACAAGGATTAACCTCTCCTAGCAAGAAGGAAATCTGTCAGCAGACAGCTTAGATTCTAACTGCAACTCTTTCTGGGGTCCCCAGACTACTGATCTTCATCAAATTCAGGCTAACCAAGTCTCTACAATCATGGGAGCCAGTTTCTTTAAAACCAGTCTCTCTCCTTCTCTCTCTCTCTCTCTGTATTTTTTGTGGTAGTTCAATAGTTGTCTTCAGTATAGCTGCAGCTACACACACACACACACACACACACACACACACACACACACACACACACACCCTTTGGAGAAAATTGATTATAGATGCAACAAAGATGTTGGCAGACTCTTAACGTGTGATTTAAAATCCTTACTTTAAAGATAATTGAAAAGATAACCTGTTCTTCCTGCTGCTCCTTCTATTTCAGCAGGTGAGACGGAGCAGGTGGATCTGAAGAGTTGAAGGAGTGTTGCATAGAAATGGGTTGGTCCCAAAGACACTGGATTGCTCTGATCAGGAGAGGATGGGACGGAATACTGCTAGTGAGAAAGGAGGCCTCATCGTCCAGGGGAAGAAAAGCCCTGACCTAGGGAAACCAGGCACTGGGATGTGACTTCCTCTCTACAATTGATTGATGTGACCATGGCCAAACTGCTTGGCTCTCTAGTATTACAGAAAACAAAAACAAAATAAACAAACAAATTTAAAAAAAGGTCTAGTTAACTTCTTGCCAGACTTCACCCTGACATTCTATCATTCCATGATGACTGAAATGTGTTAACATTCTTTTAATTTGCCCGGCGGCGGTGGTGCACGCCATTAGTCCCAGCACTCGGGAGGCAGAGGCAGGCAGATCTCTGTGAGTTCCAGACCAGCCTGATCTACCAGAGCTAGTTCCAGGACAGCCTCCAAAGTCACAGAGAAACCCTGTCTCGAAAAACCAAAAAAAAATTCTTTTAATTGAATTATTTGTAAAAGCATGAAGTTCACAGGACTTTGTCCTATTTCATTCCTTAATAGAAAGTGGGCTCAATACCCTAGCAGAAAGCAGAACCATTTGCTTTTATGCCTGCATATTAAAAGCCTTAGCATTTACTTCAACCAATTCTTATCTTAAAACTCTGAGCAGACCCTTCCATTTTTCACATATATGAGTTACAAATTTGCATCTTTTGGTTGTTGCCATGGCTTTCTCTTAGCACCCACATCCCAACATGTTACAATATCTGAAGGTATATCATATATAAATATCTAATATTTTAAATATTAAGACTATGAGTGCCTACCACCTCTAGATCTCTAGGCAAGGCGATCAGGAGACCCTGAAAGACCACTGACTAGCTGTGTCACCTTATGCAAATTAACTTTCTGGGTTTTCTTTGCATTTCTTCTTAATATAAAACAACCATCGAATGCCTGGTGAGGTTTGGTTAACTGGAGATTTTCATTCATTTGTCATCTTTACCCAGCTGAGAGGGAGCCATTTGCATAGAGTATTCAGTTAGACTTTATTTTTGCCAGGCATTCTTTCCTGTCTGTAGAGCTATAAAGGAATCAAGACTACTAGCTGGAAACACCCACAAAAGAGACACCGCTAAGATGCCAGCTGCCTCAAGCTCTAGCTCTTTCATAGATACCAAGTCTCCCCCCACTTCACCCCGAGTCACAACCCCCATTGCTTAAGGAATCCTGGACACTGAGGAATATCTGCATATTCCAAGCAGATTCCTGCCTCACAATCCTGTCTCAGTGACATACAGATGTCTACTATGTTATGCTAGTTGCAGGTTTTTACCAGCCCCCTCCCACACACCCCTGAATGTCTCACCAACTGGAGGCTGATGGCAGCACTTCCGTTCTTTTGGGTATCTGCAGGCAAGCTTGAGCATTGGAAGACTTGAGCTGCTGCTCAAAGTCATCCTGAACGCAGATGCTTTTGCCTGGTTGCTAGGAAACTGTGACTGGATGAAAATAGTTTTATAAACATCCTCGTGTCTCCTCCCACGCACATATGGGGGGGTGTATATTTGAGACAGACTGTGACCCTGGCCTTTAGTTCACATATCTTTTCACCTGAGTAGGCATAGGTGAACCAGCTAAATGATTAATCAGAAAACTGAGACGAGAAGAGGAGGCTACTTCCCCTGGTTTTCTTTTTCTCTTCCTTTCTTGTTTTATAAAATATCGTTTGACTACAGATGAAGGGGCCAGAGGACCAGCAAGGATTGCTGGAGAAGCTAGTGGAACTCTAGCTCCTTCATACTTAAAGTAACCCAAGTAATCTTTTGGGGTGATTCTACTCAATGACTACGAACACAGCAGTGAGAAACCTGGGAAATCACCTCCTGGGGACAAACCATCATTTGAAAAGAAGGAACTTTAGTTGAGGGGTTGCCTTTATTACATGGCCTGAAGGCCAGTGTGCAAGGCATTTTCTGATTAACGACTGATGTAGGTGGGCCCAGCCCACTGTGGTGGTGCCACCCCTGGTCAAGTGATCCTGTGTTGCATAAGTAGGCTGAGCAAGCCATGAGGAGGAAGCCAATAAGCAGCATCCCTCATGGTTTCTGCCTCCAGGTTCCAGATTTCAGTGCCTTCTATAATGGTCTCTAATCTGTTAGATGTAATTAAAACCCTTTCCTCCACAGGAGGGTGATCATTGCTTGATCACAGCAACAGAAAACCAAACTAAAGACGTATTACCACCTTTCTCCCAATGAATGGTTTCCCTGCTTATACATTCTCCTCATCTAATCCTTGTTTCCTTGCTGAAAGCTTGTAGAGGACGTCTCTTTGCTTTTATGATAACACCTAAATGTCTGGTTGGATATTCTGCCCCTGGGCTGGGGACGAGTTACTAACACTCCTTTCTTTGCATTTATGGTACTGAAAATGGAACCTAGAGCCTGTTTGTTCCGGGTAAACACTGTACCCATGAGCAGTATAACCACAGCCTATAAACAATTCTATTATTCATCACTTTTCCCTTTCTTGGTTATGTTGGGGATGAAATACATCTTTGTTTGTTTGAGACAGGGTTACTTTGTGGCTTTGGAGGATGTACTGGAACTAGCTCTTGTAGACTAGGCTTGTTTCAAATTCACAGAGCCACCTGCCTCTGCCTCCTGAGTGCTGGGATTAATGGCTTGTGCTACCACTGCCTGGCAACAAAATATTTTTCCTCATAAATATTGAATTTCCTGGCTGAGGACTTCCTAATAATAGACTGAGAACCAATAATAAGAGTATTAATATAGCTAATATGTTTTATATGACACAACAGACTTCACAATGAAATGAAAACCTAAAGAAACAAGCAGTTTGTGTGTTTTCATGCTGAGTTTTGGAAGAATGGACAGTCATTGTGAAATATGATTGGCAGAGATTCTATGATTATTCTGTGATACACTGGGAGACTTAAACCATGCCTGCTTGTTTGGCTGTTTCTCTGCTCCTCTGCCATTGGCTTCCCTCCAGATCTTGGAGGCACCTCTCTCCTGAGAAGTTAGGCTCTGCTTCAAGCAAGAACTAGCTGCTATTGCTTGCTTTGGGGAAGACAGTGACCTTCCTGTTGCTATTGCTTCTTCAGAAGTCAGTATGCCAGGGTCCTCATTTCCTTGAAGAGTCCCATGTCCATAAAAACATATAGTAAACATTTGTATTCTTCTTTACATTTTATCAGAGGTGCCTAAGATTGGTTTGGAATAGATAATGTCTCCTATAACCAGGTTGTGGGTTGTGTTTTAGCATTTTGATTTGGTGTGTGTGTGGTGATGAAGCACCACACACCCATGTGTACATGTCCACAGCATGTAACAAAACATTATATACAAATGGGGTGTTTTTTCCATAAGAGGATGCAATTTTACAAACTTATCTGCAGACATAAAAAAGCAAGCATTCTAGGGTAATAGAGAAAAATAAGCCTGCTCTAGGATTTAGATGTGTCTGGGCACATCCCAACAAGCCTAGAGGATTAGAGACTGTGGGAGCATTCAGATTCTATCTGCATCAGTGGTTCTGAACTTGGCCACTGTGTTTTACCTGAGGAGTTTTTAAAACTCCCAGAACCATTACCTTTGAGTCCCTGAGGATGAGATCAAGCCATCATACCCCTTAAATTTCCACAAGGGCTCTGATATGTAAAGAAGGTTGATAACCGTGGATGTGTGTGTGAGACTGAGGTGTATATGGGTGGTAGGTACTTCATCATTACACAGCTGCACTATACTTTAGCTATGGAAAGTTCTCTTCATTGCCTAAAAAAAGATGATGAATGAGGGGAAACAGACTGTCACTGAAACATCGTAGAGGTAACCCACTCTCCCATGCTTATACTAAGTTTTTTTTTAATTAAAATATGCCGGGCAGTGGTGACTCATGCCTTTAATCCCAGCACTGAGTCCTGTGCCTAAAGTGCATGGTGTCTTACTAATAGAGGCTTACTTTCCACTGATGGGAGACAGCTAAGGGCAACAGTAGTAGTCTATATCGTTTTGGGAGTCTCTTGGACAGCCCTGACCTACAACTTGAAAGGGGGTATCTCATACCTGTTACTGGAGTTTCTGTTAGATAGTCTACGGTTCTTGGAGGGGAGCATTGTCAATCCAAGTGGGATAACTTCATTTAAACTGTATATGAGCCGGGCGTTGGTGGTGCACGCCTTTAATCCCAGCACTCAGGAGGCAGAGGCAGGCGGAGCTCTGTAAGTTCGAGACCAGCCTGGACTACCAAGCGAGTTCCAGGACAGCCTCCAAAGCCACAGAGAAACCCTGTCTCAAAAAACAAAAAAAACAAAAACAAAAAACAAAAAAAAAACCTGTATATGTACACACACGTACACACATGCATATACACACATTGTTTATATGTGATTTTATATGTGTTATATGTTAATTTTAGATAAATAAAAAGTAATACGATTCCTTATGTCTACCTTTTCAGATATCTTTAGTGTTATTTGCCCCTCTTTCCTCCCTGTCCTTTAACAAATTTTCCCTTTTTCTTCCCCAGTTAAAGCAACCCCCTGGTTTTTGTTTTTTGTGTTTTTGTTGTTGTTGTTGTTGTTCTCATTTCCTCCTATATACTGAGTTGTCTTCATTGTTGTTTGCTTTTGGCTTTTCAAGACAGGATTTCTCTTTGTAGCCCTGGCTGTCCTGGAACTCACTCTGTAGACCATGCTGGCCTCAAACTCAGAGATCTGCCTGTGTCTCTCTCCTGAGTACTGGGATTGAAGTTATGTGCCACCACCCAGCTCATATACTAAGTTCTTAACTACTGAGCCATCTCTTCAGCCCTCAAGTACTAAGTTCTTAAAAGTAGGATTTTATTTGTGAAGTAAAAAACTTGGGGCTACAGAGATGTCTTCATCAGTTAAGCGCTTGCGGTGCAAACATGTGGAGCTGGGTTTGATCTCTAGCATGCACATAAAAAACTGCATGTATGAACCTGAAATTCCAGCACTGGGGAGGCAGAGACAAGAGGACCTCTGAGGCTTGCCTGGCAGCCAAATTGTGTAGTCAAATTGGTGAGATCTGTGTTCAATGAGAGATCTCGGTGTCAAAAAATGAGCTGAGGGAATGGTAAGATGACTCAGTAAGTGAGAGTACTTGCCACAGGTCCTGATGACATGCGTTCAGTTCCTGGATCCCACAGTAGCAGAGAACTAACTCTCAAAGTTATCCTCTGAGTTCCACACACATTCTGTAGCACCTGTGACCCACATTTATAGTTATGTACATCACACATACAAACATAATAAATATTTTTTTAAAATAAGACCAAGAGCAATTCCGGAAGAAGCATCAAGTGATCGCAACCTCAGGACTTACACTCATCCACACGTGTGAGCATACACCACCATGTTCACAGTCACACAAATAAATAAAACAGCTTGTTCTTAAACAAGAGAATGATGATAGCTGTTGAAACAGGGTCTTTCAATTCTTCCAATAAGATTAGTAAATAGTTTTCTAAAGTCCTTTTGTCATTTTGTTGTTTCTTCAAGGAAAGTATTTGCGGTGGAAGATTGTTCTCTTAGATTGGCTGAGAAATGAGATCTGATCTGTTCATTTCATGGCTATGTTTCCAGAACATCAATGACCATATGGAGATGTGTCAACCACCTTCTCTTTTCTGAGTGCCTCTTGAAGACATATTCCTTGTCTTACTTCTTTTTCTATAATTCTGAAGTCACAATCAGTGCCTGACCCATAACAGTCAAGTGCTCTCCCACTGAGCAACACTGCACCATCCCCAACCCCTTCCTTTGTGAGAACAGTGGGTAGTAGTCTCCTGGCTTCCTGCTGGTGACATCTCTAGACTGATGTGAGAATTTCTGTCTTTATTGACTTGATCTATGTTGGTAAGGGGGAGGAAAAAGACTATAAAGTCAAAATTGGCTCATAAAAGTTACAGAATAAGCCTTGAAATTAAATATAGAAAGTGTTTACATCATAATTTTATATAAATCGTCTGTTTACAAAATAATGAAAGGAAAAAATATGATATAGATTTATTGGCTTAATTGCCTGCTTGCTTTGGTTCTGATGCACTTAGAAATTATGTCAAGTGTGGGTGAATGTAAGTGGGGGCCAGTAGACCCACTACCCTGTTCCTTTTCCCTCCTCTCCACTGCAAGACAAATTTAGCTTATTAAGTATACCAGCTTTTAAAACACCAATGATAAAAATGTTACTTTGTAGAAACAGCATGCTTCAAAACATCACCTATTGGATTTAAATACAAATGTACTTACTGATATAGCAAATGAAACGTATACTAGTTTTATCACCTCTAATGAAGACGGTGACTTTTCTTTATCTGTCAGCTGGTCTGGCTGTAAGTGGAATGTGGGGCAGGCAGGAGAATTTTGGCTATTCAGGAAGACAGGTATTCATGTTGAGTTGGAATATG